GACACATTCAAAAAAAATCGAGATGTAAATTCGGCCAAAATACATTGCAGCAGCAGCGCGGCGAAGTGACAGAGGGCATGTGTTCAGCGGTGGGAGGTGTACATCTAAAAACACGACTGTAGCAGTTTTACAGTTAGATTAATTAGAAATATAAAAGGACATTTTCTCAAATGAGTATACGTAAAATTAACAAGTTTGTATAATGTAGATATAAATTTAAAATAAAACGCACCGCGCAGCAAAAATTACGGCAAGCTTTTAACGCATGTGAGAGAACAAAGCTCTCGAGTCGCCACGATTTATGATAGCTATTAACGTGAGGAACGTATTAGCAGCTTCAACCGAGAGAAAAGCAGAAAGATTTAACGCGGCCGATTTTGTACGATATGTGTTCAATTTTTTTGCGGTTCGGTCTTCTTTGGTAAATAGATAAGTGTATGACTGGAATGGAGTATGAGGAAACGTAACTTAAAAAATAAAATAAAACTAAAACAAACAAATATACGCTATTTGGCCATCAATTTGTCGTTTTTGAGGTATAATTGCTATGAATTTTTTGTGTAGTAGATTAGATGTTTTTACATTACGACTGTATGTTTTTTGTATATATGTTACGCTATATCTTCTTCAATTAGGAACTGTTTTGATAATTCTTTTTTTTAAATTAGGTTATACATTAGTTTATTACTTTTTTAATTTTTATCGACAAAAATTAAAATATATTATATAATAAATATAAATATAATATATAAATATTTAAAAAATCTACTACCGTTTTAAAATGAGGCTTCCTTGAGGCTCCTCAGTCTTGAGAAGAAAGAAAAGTACATACCGTATGTTATAAGTAACTACAAACAATTTATGGTACTTTCCTCCGAGAATACAAGTATATAATAATATATTACGATATACATAAGAGATATTTTACATACAATTTTATTATTCATTTATAAATAATACAGGAATCGCTCAGTAATAATTTTCGACTGTGATAAATTTTCAATATCCTGCCAGCGAACGGGATTGAGAGTGCTATCGAAAATGTCAAAGTCGTGAACGGAAATCGAAGAAAACTCAATTGTGAATTATAAATATATCAATCAGGCGGTGAAATATAAATTTAAAAGATACATACATATTGTCATAATATAAATTTTAGTATTTTAAATATTTATTATGATTAAGAAGATACACTGTTTTACCGCTGTTTTTGTGTGTCCAACCAATCCGTCACAAAACAGCACAGCTGTTTTGTGACGGATTGGTACTCACAATAATAGTAGTTAATAAACATTGCCACCCTATACTTCGCACCGTCATAGTTTCTCATATTTCTATAAATCATATATTTATAATCATTAAGATATGATAATGTAAGTGCAGCATGGGCAAATAGTGTAAGATCTTTTTATGTATATAGCACCGTTGAAAATTTGGAGCCTTTGAAAAAACTGTAGCAACTGTGGCAAAATCCCCCCATGAGGTAATCTATGAGGCAGGCCTATGTTTAGCAGTGGACTTTTATAGGCTGTAATGGATGGATGGAATGGATGGAAAGAACTATGAAAATAAGTAGTTTGAGTTAAAAAACGTTTAATTAATAAGTGATGATTTTTTATCTTTCTTTTTATATTATCTATGCTTTTCTTAAAATCTTTTAATAAAATCGAAGGCATATTAAAAAACTAATAATTGAATACGAATTACTATGCGAATAATAATAATAATAATATGAAAATATTTATTATTAGGTCGGGGAAATAGTTTTTTCTTATTTTCTTTGTATAAAATTGAAGAAAAATGTCTTTACTTGTACTGTTATATCTGGCAGGTTTTAATATCAATACAAATAGGATATTAAAAAAAAGAAAAAGTAAAAAACATGATTATTTACTTTTTCTTTTTCTTAATATCCTATTTCCCGCCGATTTTTAAATTGCTCTCCTGTCCGCCAAAATGAGTGAATCTAACGAAGAATTCGATACATTCTGATACGATAACAGGATAAAATGCGACTCAAGCCGCGAAAAAATTTGCGACATTTATGGACCTAATGCAGTGTCAGTAAGAGTAGCACAAAGTTGGTTCAAGCGTTTTAACTCCGGGAATTGTGATGTCAAAAATGCAGTCGCTCTGGTAGCCCTCATACATATACAGTCAATGCCATTTTTGAAAAAGTGGAGCAAGATCGACATATTAGCATGTAACTACTAATGTAACACGACATAGCCGAGGAATTGAGGATTGACCACATAACAGTTTTGACCCATTTGAAAAAGTTGTGCTTGGTGAAAAGTGAAGAGAAAGATATAGATAAAGAAGAAAAGAAAAAGTGTTTGGGTACCACACGTGCTCACTGAAAGAAACCTAATGAATAGTTTACTCATTTTCGATTTTCTATTGAAACGTAATGAAACCGAACCATTTTTGAAAAGATTGATCACTGGTGATAAAAATGGATCACCTACGATAAGAACGTGTGAAAAAGATCATGATCAAAAGGTAGTCATCTCCACAGACTTTAGCGAAACCCAGATTAACATGCAATAAGGTGGTGCTGTGTGTATGGTGGGATTGGAAGGACATCTTTATTATGAGCTTTTAATGCTGGGCACAATCATCGATTCGGATCTCTACTGCCAACAACTAATAAGAAAGGGGTGCTCTTTCATCATGATAACACCAGAATACTGGGTGGATTCTGGTGTTATCTTTGTCCGTTCAGCAAAAGTTGAGAACGCTTGGTTGGGAAGTGTTAATTCATTCACCATATAGCCCTGAAAATACGAAGAAACTTTTTTCCTACCTTTAATGAAAAAACAATATAAGCGTAAAATAGCAGCATAATGCTGCTGTATTTCGAATAGGGAGAGTAGAGAATCAGAAACCCTTTACCTTACCAACAGGTAGACTGCTTGCTCGTTTGCTATTCTTACTGTAAAAAAATCATTCTTACTTTTTCCCTTTGTCTGATAAGTGAATAATTTGACTATCTGTCATGATAAGTTACATCGTTCGTTTTTTAATAAAGAGGTAACTTCTCGTCTATCTGAATTTACCCCTATCCTCCGTCTCTTTCTGTATATTATATTCGTTTAAAGAAGATATTTGTTATAGCAATTCGAAATGAGTTTTTCCAGCCTTTTAACCCTTTGAGTTCGTGTGGAGTATATGCTATTAAGGTTACAATTAAATTACGGGTATGTCACAATGAAACTTGATTGCAATGGGGTTGAAAGCTCGAAAGCCAAATTATGTTCAATTCTCTGAAAATATACAGGATATATCTTTAGATATTTATAGAATAAAATTAGTCTTTCTTCAACCAACGCAAGAATATAACTAAATGTAAAATTGACATTATATGTATAAGTGAGTGCCTCTATATTTCCGTGTATTTATGGTACTATACATTGTCGTTTATTTTAAATAAAACTGAAGTGACAAACGTACTTACAGTCTATCTGATTGTAATTGGGTACTGCAGTCCATGGATGCCTGCAGCCAATTTAATACAAAAAAATCGGCAAAGTGCGAGTCGGACTCGCGCACCGAGGGTTCACGAGTCATGTCAGTCAACGAACATGGATGAGATAGGAAGAGTGCTTAGTGTTTGCACTTACATCTGTTTGCTTTATGACATCCCTTGTACAGATGTTAGCATCCGATTATGATGAGGAAAGTCGAATGAAAATATATTAAACATCAAAACACAAAACAAGATTGTTGATTGAAGAGCGTGTGAGGTATAATACGAGATTATAATGAGTTAAATATTTTCATAAATTTATGCATATTTCTTCTTCTTCTTTTTTTTTATAGAAGGGGGGCGGCTCACCTGATGATAAGTGACTACAGTACCTCGCGGCGTAAGCTGAGCTTTGCATTTGTGTGAGTACACACAGATAGTGTACAGTGGGATACGGCTTGAGGCGCAGCGCGTCCCGCGCATGGTTTAAACCAGTTTATACTGGTTTTTAAAACGCGGCCTGAGGCGAGGCGCATCCTCCACGCGTCGCTTCCCTGCCGCGCACATTCCCCACTTCACCTCTGGTACCGCTAGCAGATAGACGTGTAATTTTTTGTGGTTGTGTTCGAATTTTTTGTGAAATGGCTCCTACTGTAAGTAAATTGACTAAACGACCAAGTAGCCAAACAAAAGAAATTTTATACAAATTGAATTACGTATTTCAAAGATTTAAACGACAAGGATATATCAAGTGTCGTTACGTCGGCCCAATTGGTAGCGACATCGACGGGAATTCCGCTGTCAACTGTAAAAAAGGTTTTATTAGAAGGTAAATGTGCTTTGGAAGATGGAAGCAAATTTAAATCTACGAAAAAAACAAGATGCAGGAAAAATATCATTGTGATCGATGATTTTGATAAAGCGGTAATTCGGAGAATACTTCATAATTTTCACATCACCGACAAACAGTTTCCCACTATGAAAATATTACACGAAAAGTTAAAGGCCGAAATAAATTATCCAGGTGCAATTACGTCATTAAGAAAATAAGTATCTCTATTAGGATTCAAGTGAAAAAGGACAGAAAATAATCACAGAATCCTTATGGAGAAACATGAAATACGATATCTTCGAATAATGTTTCTCATTAAAATTGCCGAATATCGCGCTCGGGGCCGCCCAATCGTTTATACTGACGAAACATATATAGACACGTCTTACACTTCGTCGAAATCTTATTCAGATGGAAGCACCTCTGGTTTAAAGAAACCAATTTCTAAGGGAAATCGGTTAATAATAGTTCATGCCGGCGGAGAGGACGGTTTCATACCCAATGCCCTACTCAAGTTCAAGGCAAACCAAAAAAGTGGTGATTATCATTATAATATGAACACCGAGAATTACACAAAATGGTTGCAAACGCAGCGAATTCCAAATTTTAAAACCGAATAGTGTTCTGGTGGTTGACAATGCATCATACCACAATTCGTATCAAAATCCTGCGCCCAATTCAAACCATCGTAAACAAGCTATGATTGATTGGCTCAAATATCGAAATATCGATCACTCTGGTTCGATGCTTAAACCACAACTTTATCAGTTGATACTACAAAACAAAGCAAGATTTGTTGAATATAAAATTGATCATTTGCTCCAAGAACATGGTCACAGCGTTCTACGTCTACCACCCTACCACCCTGATTTCAATCCTATTGAAAATATATGGGCAATGGTAAAAGGATACGTAGCTAAAAAAAACGTGTCAATGAATATGGACACTATAATGAGATTAACAAAGGAAAAAGTTGACGCGATCACTGTACAAGAGTGGAAAAATGTTTGTGACCGTGCAGGTAAAGAAGAAAAAGCATTTGATGGTCAAGACGCCGCTATCGACGGTTTATCGGAGCGATTCATTATTAACACAGGCTCTGATGAGTCATCAGACGACAGTGAAGATGAAGATGCAATGAGCGGAGAAGAAGAGTTATAATATTGATATGTAGTTTATTACTGTTATTACTATAATTTAGGATAATCAAAATATCAGCATTAACTTTTAATAAAACATTGATTTTTTACTAACTGTACTTTTGGCGATCACTCACACAAATGCAAAGCTCAGCTTACGCCGGGAGGACTGTACCACCGCCTATAAACAACCGCAACACGGAATTGCAGATGCGTTGCCGGCCTTTTAGAAATATAACAGCACACATAATATTATGTGATTATACTGTTGTTCTGCATTGACAGTAAATAAATAATAAGTCAAAAATATTTTTATGATGCTTGTGTAGGGATTCAAAAAAAACCATTTGATATAATCTATGGCAAAAATGTAGAGCAGCTAGATATAAATGTAGAAACTTTTAAGCTAGCAAAGCAAACTTGTCTAGACAATTATAGCAAGGCTAAAGAACATAAAGTAACTAAATATACACACCGGCACAATTAGCGGAACATAAAAAAAAGCAGGATTTTAAAATCTTTTACTTGAGGAACTGGCCAGTTATGATATTTTTTTAATTTATTGTCAAATTTGAAAATAGAAAATTAGATGATATACACTTTTTTCATTCATTTGTTTTATTTTCCCGAACAATACGTTTTGTCAACTTGTTCGAGTAATAACTACGTAATTGTAATTTTTTTGAAAAATTGCACTTAATGGTTTTTTATAAATTTGTTATTCTATAGGCAATTTTGTTTATTAAAAGCTCTTTATTATGCCTGACTTAACATCACTGGAAATCATTAGGGCTGATGAAATGAAAAGAAATGGCCATACCTACAGATCGATTGCCTCAAGGCTTCGTCGACCAGTATCAACGATTCATCGCAGCATCCAGCGGTACAGATCGTCTAATTCTCTTGTGAGGAGGAGGGGTCAAGGTAGAAAAAGATGTACATCGAGGCGAGATGACAGTTTTTACAACTTGGAGTTCGTAGGAATACGCGATTAACTGCTGTACAAGCTCGAAATGAACTGGAAGACGTTCGAGGAGTACGAGTAAGTGAGCGTACAGTTCGCAGGAGATTTGAAGAAATTGGTTTAGGGTCGTATATACCTGCCAAAGGCCCAAAACTTGAGAGACGTCACCGCGTAAACCGATTAAGCTATGCGCGAGAACATCGTCATTGGGATTTGAACGAATGGCAGCAGGTTCTCTTTACTGATGAGTGCAGAGTTCTTTTAAAACAGATCGATGGGAGACAGTGAATATGGAGACGCAAAGGAGAATGCCACATACAGTCTAATTTTGAACACACAGTGGCTTATGGTGGCGGCTCGATTATGGTTTGAGGAGGGATGTTTGGGAGCTCGCACGGAGTTAGTGATAGTCACAGGAGGGGCCATGACAGCAGATCGATACATCAGAGACATATTAGAAGAACATGTTGTACCATTTGCCCCATTTATTGGTGACGACTTTATTCTAATGCAAGATAATGCTCGTGCTCATAGTGCACAATCGGTACAGGCATATCTGAGCCACGTAGGTATACCGGTGATGCAGTGGCCAGCAAATTCCCCCGATATGAATCCGATAGAGCATGTCTGGGACTTGCTAAAAAGAAGGGTTAAATCCAGAATGCCACCCCCCAACAATCTGAATGAACTTGGAAACGCATTACTTGAGGAGTGGGAGCGGTTGCCTCAAGAAATCATCGATAACATAATCTGTAGCATGCCCAGACGAATGGAAACCGTAATCAGAGCAAGAGGGGGAAACACTCGTTATTAATTTTGCGTTAATTTTATTGTTAAATCATTTAATGCTTACTTTTTTTTTATTTTTTGTGATGGTTCATAATCATCTAAAAATTTCACTTATTTCAAATTTCTTTATTTTTCAATAAAAAATAACGAAGACTTTTCAAAGTCGTTGTTAAAAGATGTTAATCAATTTGTTATTTTGTGTCTAATTACATTTTCGTCATGGGGGGTATATTGCCATAGTTGCCACGCTTGGCGAGCGGGTTGGCAACCGCAGTTTTTTTATTGTTATTTTGGCTATTATCAGGAAGATGCTGCTGCCCATCTCCTGCCTGTTTCCCTTTGTCGCCTTTTACGACACCCACGGGAAGATATGGGGTAGTGGATATTCTTAACCGCCACTACACGGCAGACCTCGGAGGACCTAAGCACTATGCTCAATGACCTCAATAGTGTTTCCCAACGGATAGGTCTTAAGATGAACATGGACAAAACAAAGATCATGTTTAATGTCCATGTCACACCTATGCCGGTAGTTGTTGGGAACACTAAGCTCGAAGTTGTTGACGAGTATGTTTACCTGGGACAAATAGTCCGACTAGGTAAGTCCAACTTCGACCGAGAGGTCAATCGACGGATTCAACTCGGTTGGGCAGCGTTCGGGAAATTACGGCACATCTTCTCGTCAGGTATACCTCAAAACTTGAAAACGAGACTGTACACCCAGTGCGTGTTGCCAGTGATGACATACGGAACTGAGACGTGGTCCTTCACTGCTGGCCGGATGAGGAAGCTCAAGGTCGCTCAGCGAGCTATGGAGCCCTCTGGCTATGCTCGGAGTTTCTCTGCGTGATAAACTCAGAAATGAGGATATCCGCAGTAGAACTAGAGTGACCGACATAGCCCAACGGATTAGTAAGCTGAAGTGGCAATGGGCCGGCCATATAGCTCGAAGAACCGACAACCGATGGGGAAGAAAGGTTCTCGAGTGGCAGCCTCGTACCGGCAGGCGAAGTGTAGGGCGTCCCCCCACTAGATGGAGTGACGACCTGGTAAGATATGCAGGAAGTCGATGGATGCAGGTGGCTCAGGACCGTGCTTTGTGGCATTCTTTGGGGGAGGCCTATGTTCAGCAGTGGACTTGTGAAGGGCTGTAATGATGATGATGATGATGATGATGACATTTTAGTCAAATATATGCGTTATTATCTCATAGTCTCACTTTTTTTTCTGTTCCGCTAATTGTGCCGGTGTGTATATAAACTGTAAGTCAACTGACTTTAAAATTCAGTGTCGTCGGTAATCTATTAACGACGTAAAATTTTGTGAAAGTTGTAAAATGTAGAATGAAAAAAAAAACCGTACAAATAGGCACAACATGACCATGCTTTCACCATACAGAACGGAAGATAATATAAAACAGCGGCACTGGAGCAATTATCAATATTGCAAAATATTGAAACTGAAAAGATAACGTTGCATCGATGAAAAACACTATTTCTTAGGAAAGACTCTTGATCATATTACTAACATTATGGTTCTAGGAGTAATATCTTCCATAGCTCATTTCGACTTGGGTAAAAAAATATAATTTTAATCAATTTTAAATAAATAAAAATATAATACTCGCAAGTCGCAACCATAAGTACTTTTAATTGGAACCGCTCATTTATTTTATTTCTTTATCTATTTCTCTGTATGTATGGCGTAGCAAAATTATGAACCACTCAGATATACCCATCATCCTCGAATTATACCTTGTTTACATACATTTAATAATAACACTTAAGCTCGAGCTTCCATACAAACTTGGTTTCTTTATAATTTACATACAATATAATGGATCGAAATAAAAATACTTTAAAAATAATTTAGAAGGTAAATAGAAACAAAACAAGTTTGTAAAAAAACTCGGGATTGTGGGAGGGAGATCCTTAACATACATCTAAACGAACGACAGATATAATATATTCTTTATATGCCTATTAATTTTACTGAGGTATATAAATTGTTGAAATTAAAAATTAAAACAAAGATAAGAAGGCAACACCCTGGTTTATTTTTTTAAATTCTAAAGCGCTGAATTCAAATTTTGATTACGCGGTATCCCAAAATTAAATAGTACGGTAGAAGTATGTGACGGTTGTGGATAAGTACGTACAGACACGACTTTTCTTATAAATTTATTATATGTATAGATAACGTACATATTATGAATATGTAAAACTAACCAAGAGCTCAGTGGGGAAAATTTAGCACATACATATTTTCATTTCTTATTTTGCTCCTCAATATCCCTATTTTGAATAAAATTCCTTTTCGCGACATTTGCCGGCAACGTCATCTAGAAATATACAAATGTTCGAATGAAACCGTGTTTTTTTCATCACAGAAATATGTTGTTGTCTCGGGATTAAGTATAATAAAAAAGAACATGATCAAATATTTTTTACTTGTTAGATAACATTGCTAAAATTGTTTTTCCTTTCATAGGGTTTCAGTATACACAAGTAAAGTCTAAATAAATAAAGTCACACTACTGTTGATCATCCTTCCCCTAAAGACATGCTCATAGGAGACATATTTACCATGTGATAACCCCAGTTTTTGAATATTATTGAATTGTTATTAGGAAGATGCTGCTGACCATGTCCTATTTCAGTTTTTGTCATTCGTCTCATACAATATCCATGGAATGACATGGAGTAGTAGATATACTTACGCCGCAACTACACGGCAAATTCTAAATTCAAAAGAAAGAATTTTGGAATATGGATATAAGTAGTAACTGACCAAATGTTCGATTAGAAAAGTTCAATTTCGGCTTCAAGGAGCTAAAAGAAATATTTTCATCGAAATCTGTTGACGTGGTAAATAATTATTTGCTCACATGTCGTGCAGATGTCGAATTCAACTAGCTGGGCCCAAAGACGTATTAAAAAGATAGACAGGTTACACACTAACATTATTGTATTTTAAAGTGGCGCAGGTAGTACTATATCTATGTACAGTTATTTATTATGACACGTTACGCTAACAAAAAGAGACAAATGATAGGGCACACCTATCGTTAGAAAAAGATGAATATACATCATTAGTTGCGTATTGATTGCTGCCGAGCGCTCATTGGCGCGAGCGCGTGACATACCGATATGTAAAATGAACACACTAGCTAGCGTCAAAGTTTACTCTAGCGGTTAGTGTTGAAATAATAAAACCAATTGTGAACAAAATATCTATATTCAAAATATTTGTGAGACGTTTTTCTTGTC